GGCTGACGGGACCTCGGGCGCGACCTCGGGCGGGACCTCGGGCGCGACCTCGGGCGGGACCGGGGCGCGAGGGAGGCTGATGAGCACCAGGGTGTTCCCCTGCGGGGGCGGGCGGCTGGGGAGAGACGGCCGCGAGGTCCGCGTCCCCTTGTGGAAGGTTAGCATAATAACCGCAGACGCCGGGAGGTAGACCCGTCGTTAACTATTCGAAAGTGGCCTCAGAAAACGAGCCAAAGTCTTACGGCCGCGGCTTGAACCTCTGGGGAGGGCGTCTGGGGCCACAGGTCCTGGCGCTCCGAACCGGAACTGGGGCACTGCCGTGACGCCGCGGTGAGAACGCCACACCTGCCCTCCTGCGATGGGCGCAAACCTGTCATTCCGGAATGTCTGCGTTCCCGCAGGCTGTGCGAGGTGTGTATGAAATAGAAATGAAGAGGGGCTGGACTCCCACATGGCCAGCCGTGGTTCGAGCCCCAGACCTGGCAGCGGGCCTGTGCTCGCGCTCGCGCTCGCGCTTTCTCTCTCTCCCCCTCCTGTCAAATTTAAATAAAGTTAAATACAATAATTATTTGAAAAGAGGAAGAAATAGAAATGAATGAGTCTCACAGGATACCTCACTGTATATGCAAATATTCCAAAATCTGTAATCTGAAACACTGGTCCCAAGCATTTCGGATAAAGGATACTTAGCCTGTGCTTAAAGTCTGTACATACATGCTTGTAGAAAGCCAGTATATATATTTATTTATTTATTGGAGAGGTTTTTGCTAAAGGGTGCAGTGCACTTGCCAGAAAGAGAGAGAGAAAGAGAAAGCAAGAAATCACCCCTCGGGGGGGTCGTCACACCGTATTCCCATCTCCTCCATTCTCTTTGGATCTTGGGCACGCACGTACACGCGCCCAGCGTCAGTTTAAGCCACCGGGTCTGTGACTCAAACTGCAATCCACTACATGGAAGTTCAGCGACATAGTCATTAGCTAACTGCTAAAACCAGTATATATAATTCCAGGAAATTGAGCTTGCCCTAAAAACACACCGATGGACCACTTGGTACGGTAATGCTAATCAAGAGATTAGATTGAGGAAACAGCATTTGGCGTGGTGGTTATATTTCTGGACTTACACAGTGCCAACTGAGGTTTGAGTTCTGGACCCACTGGCTTGAGAATCGTGCCATGTAGGCTTGTGCCCAAAGTCCCAAGAGGAGGATACAGGAGAAGGGGCTGCGGAGTGGCCACCCCCTGGGAGGTGATTTCTTACTTTGCCTCTGTCTCTGACTCTCTCTCTCTGGCGAGTGCATGTGCTCTATAGCAAAAAAAAAAAAATCTTTACAAAATTAGATTGAATGTCTGTCTTGGTGGCCTGGAGGTTGAGGTGGCTGGATCCCACATGGCTGTGCAGTTTGCGCTCACCGTTCTGTCGGCTTGACAAACATGTCCAGTGGAACCAGCAGATGGCGTAATGGCTACATCGCTAGACTCCCATGTAGTGGACCGGGATGGGAGACCCAGACCTGGTCCCCTATATTGGACATTTATAGTAAGGCCAGATTTATTTTCAGCCAGCGTGGTTACTTCCCTGATGAAAAGAAACCCAAAACATAGATGTTGCCAGATGTTTGTTCTTTTTCTGGGGGTAGATGTGGAAAGAAATATCCAGCTGGAGAACTGTGTTAGAATTTGTGCATCCTCATTTGAATAAGTCTTCCACACCATCCTTGTGGGTTGGATGGGATAATAGGAACCATATGTGTAACTATTTGGAAAACTGTAATCAGAATGTTGACTGTATTTCAGAGAGGCCTTTTAGTGGCGTGCTCTCTGGTGCTTTTGTTTTGACCGTCTTTAAGAACTGCAAAGAAGCAAAATGATGGTCCTAATCCTTCAGGGTGATGTATGCCTTGCCAGAGCCATCCGCTAGTTCATTCGCAGAGCCAGGGCCAGAACCCAGGTGTCACTTTTAGCCCAATGTCCCTTTCTGTGTGCTCTTGGCAACAAACAATGACGCTCACCACTGAGGATGCCACAAATTCATTGTTAAGAGCCACAGTTGAACCCCTCATCTTGCGCAGCTGTCCCTTATGTGTCACAATGACCGTTCTAAACGCTTACCGCTTAAGCGTTTGTAGCTCTCGCCTCCCTGGTCCACTTCTCAACCCCCAGCCTCACCTCTTAGCAGGGAGGAGGCAGTTCTGTTTATCTTTGTCCAGTTTCATTTCCAGCTCTCAAATCTGGTAATGAAGTGCTGCTTTCTGAAATTTTCCCTTTACTATCTCTTCTTTCCTTTCTGTATTTTTCAACCACTAAGATCCCAAGAACCTAGCACTTAGTATGTAATAGGCACTCAGCTATTTACCAAAGGAAGGAACTGCTTTTTCTTCATTGAGGGAAACATTATCCCAGACATTTTCTGGGTTCCTTTCTAATAGTTTTCGAATCTTTGCATTTGGTTCTGTCTGTGTGAAGCCTATTCATTCCAAGCTGTTTCTAGTCCCTTCTTATAAAATGGTGACTTTTGTTTTTACCTTGACAAATGCTCATGAATCCACTTGCCTTGTGATCTCTAGGTGGTTACAGTGTAAAGGGACATAGACTACTTAGGTCACAGTAGACTTTCTTGTATTCAGCATTAAAATGTGATTTAATTAAAATCACAACGTTCATTCTTACGGTAGTGCAATATTTATCTTTTAAGGTTAAGTGAAATAACACATTTATTTCTTAATTACACATTGTAGCATGAAGTAATTGATGCCTTTCTAATGCAAATAAAAAAGATTTATGCGTTTAATAGTACCGTAGCTGACTTGCACATTGCTGGATGGATTTCAGTGCTTACTAAAATGACAGCTTTAAACTGGCTATAATTCAGGAGAGTGGAGGCAGGGTGTATGCAGACATCTCCCTCCGTTGAACTTGGCTACTTCCCTTTCGTGAGACTCTTTGTTCTTCATTTTATGAAGTAGTCCTCCAAAGGTGTTAGCCAGGTTTTTCTAAAATCTACCTTTCAAAAAGCCCTTTCAATCTGCCTAGGCCCTGAGAGCCAAAGGACTTTTATGGTTGCTAGGCTGGGTCATTTTCATATTTATGTTCAGTAAATAAATTTCCAGTTAGGTTGGTTTACCTACTCTACCTAATTCAAAGTGAGTTCATGGTGGTGTAATTCTCCTTTCCTTCATGCAGCGTGAGCTCCATGACAGGAATCACCATTCTGTCAGTTTTGCCCTGTAATCAAGTTGTATCAAATCAAGCCCAGTTTAACCTCAAAAAATTACAACATACTGTTGAATTCCAGCTGTGTTTTTGCCTTTGTTTTAGGTAGTTTTGAACCTTGAGAGAAAGTCAGTTATTCTCCATTGGGATTTACCAGAAAACACCCAACCATAGGAAGCCCACAGGGCCGCAAATCAACAGCGGGGCTTTGGAGTTAATTGACCTGACCTGTGTTTGATTCTAGGCCATCCCACTTACCAGCTAGGCAGCTTTGACCAAGCTATTAAATCTTTGGGCTCAGTTTCCTCATCTATAAAGTGAGGGTAATAGTACTTTTAAATGTGAACACACATATAAAGCACACAGTAAGAGGTCAGTAAATGGACATTGTGATTAAGAAAATAGCACCTGTTTTTAAGTTCCTTAGAGCTTTTTTCCCCTAAACACCATGAAAGGTTTTCATTTTTTTTATAATACTAATTTAAAACACATTTACGATTTAAAATATTTTGTTTGTTATAAATTTTTTTTTTGTAAATGTTAATTCATTTTCACTTTTGAACTAACCACAAATATAACTGACATTCAGAAGTTTTGGCCTCTGTATCACCACTACCACCACTAAATTCCTGTAATTCTGGCTAAAAGTAAAGAGCTGTGATATTTTAGACAAAGCAGTTTTGGGGGGTTTTTTGGAGAGAGATTTTTGCTATAGGGCATACGTCCTCATTGGAGAGACAGAAAGTGAGAAATCATGCTCCAGGGCAGACTGCCATGCTGCAATCCCTTGTTCTCAGTTCTCCCGGGATCTTGAGCACGCATGCACGTGCGCCCAGTGAGTTTGAAGCCACCAGATCCAGGACTCGAACTGTGGTCAGCATGTGGGAGTCCAGCAACATCACCACTACGTCATCTGCTAGCCCCTAGCCAAAACAGTTTTATTGTGAGTTAGAGTTATGATTTCCAGCAGGCTTTTAAAA